GTAACGAATTGATATGATTATTTATAAAAAGTAAAACAAAGTGAGATACGAGTATAGTTACAGTATTTTTATATTCTCTATTTAATAGGCTATGTACTGTGTATCCTTCTAAATATAAAAAAAAGATAGGAGATTCAGCGCGCTAAATCTCGTGACGATGAGCAAGGACAAAGTTAAATTGATGGTGGTGCTGGCGACTCTCGCAGAGAAAAAAAACTGATGGTCTTCGTTAGCAATTAGAAGATCTCCGCGGCAAGTATGACGTTTGTGTTCAGATATTGCAGTCACAATTTGTCAATGATTCTTTGGGTCCAAAAAAATCAGCTTTGAACATTCGTACATTTTTGCCCTCCTTTGGCGGTTCTGATGATCGCGAAGCGCTTTCGTTTGTTATTCGATTACTGGATAACCCTCAAGTGAACTCGATGAATCTGAAGCTGCCGATAAAGCGTTTTTGCACAACATTTGAAGTTGTGATCGGAGAAAAATACGCATTCTCAATTCGTTGAAGTCATCTCTGCCACACTTTGTAAACTGCAGTTGAACGCGCAAAGAAGGTAGTTGGCACGAAGGAGTTAGTTGTTATAGGATACTGAAGATAATAATCATAGAGGTGAATTTTTTTAAATTATTAGGAACGTAGGTGTATCATTTGGTGGAAATACTTGCAAATCACTAGGTGACGTCGCCGTGTCTTACGAGATTGTGTTAGAACTGTTAGGTTGGTGTACAATAATTATTTGGACGTTTGATAATACAATCTATATTAAATGAGAAATCATGATTAGATTATTACTTTGTATTTATTATCAATTTCTATTGTAAATAAAAATAATTTGGTTATATAAAGAAATTAATTCTTGATATTTTAAATACAAAGCCATCGGGCTAATTAGTAAAATTGAAAAAAATATGTGAACACGTAAAATAAACTAATAGTCACGTGCTTTCCATGTTTGACTAATTGGAAATAGTGATAGGAATAGCAGAGTTTTTTTTTTTCCTATTTTCGGTCGCATGAAATGCATCCCCTTGCGTCACCCTTGCGCCACTGGTACAGATGTACAGTATGGGATAAATCCTAACTAAAAAAGTAAATATATGGTGATGACTGCATTGTCATGCATTTTTGCATTAGTGTGATGGGATGTCACATGCACCTCTTTTTCTTCACCTTTACAAGAAGCCATGACTACGACGGTTCTAGCAGATGCTTTGTTGCGCGATATTGGTAAACGTTACGAAAATGCGGATGATTACGACATAGTCATTTACGTTGGTGAAGAACCATTAGTTGAGGTTTTCCAAGCTCACTCATTTATTTTACGCGCTCGATCCGTTTATTTCAATGCCGCGTTGTCAACAAGCTGGGTAAAGAGAGAAGACAACAAGATTACCTTCAGGAAACCGAATATCTCACCTAAACTATTTCGACCGATTTTAAAGTAATTCATGTTGTCCAATTAAGTTGATCTTCAAAGAATTTATTGATAAAGTTTAATGTTCTTTCTTTTGCGTGTACTTTCGCAGATACATGTATACAAGTCATATAGAATTAAACGTGGAATCAAAAAATCGGCAAGAGTATTTTGATCTTGTAGCTGCCGCTGACGAATTGGCACTTGTAGAACTTGTCGATTATATACAAGAACATATTATTTCCAATGAAAAAGGGTGGTTGCTTGAAAATTTTGTTCAAGTTTTTCAAAAAATATCCACGTATGAGGCCATGCGTAAACTTCAAGATTATTGTGCTGAACTAATTTGCAACGATCCATCGGGTAGATAAGTTCCTTGTAACAAGTTAATTTTTTCTTTTTATATTTTACCTATACTTACGTCATTTTCTATTTAAAATTTAAAGTTGTCTTCACATCAGAAGACTTTGCGTCGCTTGAAGAGCCCGCATTACTGGCGCTTTTACAACGCGATGATCTTGTTATGGATGAAATCGACATTTGGGAGTGCATTATTAAGTGGGGTCTTGCTAAAAATCCAACGATCGATGCCGACGTCTCCAAGTGGTCTCGGCAAGATTTCGAGGCGTTGAAACAAACTCTTCAAAATTGTATAAAATACATCAGATTTTTTCAGATTTCAGCTCAGGATTATTTTTATAAAGTTCGCCCATATAAAAAAATTCTTCCACGCAGTCTTAAAGAGGATTTACAACTGTTTTATATTGTTCCCCGAGGACAACCTAAATCTACAACAATTTTACCTCCAAGGATGGGTTTACGTCCTGATTCAGTAATAATCACTTGCCAAAATGCCTCGATCATCGCAAATTGGATTCATAATAGACCTAGAGAAACTTATAAGCCACACGAAGTCCCATATCGTTTCGAATTATTGATTCGTGGAAGTCGTGATGGTTTCAGTCAAGAAGAATTTCATAGGCGTTGTGATCACAAAGGTGCAAACGTGGTCGTAGTTAAGGTGCAAGGATTACCTGTGGTGGTTGGAGGATATAATCCAATCAGTTGGACTTCTGCAAATGATTGGAGACAGACAACTGAAAGTTTTATATTTTCCATTGGAGAGCATCATAAACCTATACTAAGTCGTGTGAGGAACCAAACATGCGCAATTCGGGACACAATCTCCAAACAATGGATTGGATTTGGAGTGGGTGATCTCCATTTTCTCGATGGTGTTTGCAGGCCAAATGATTATGAGCATAAAATACTGGATACCACGAAATTTTTGATTGAGGATTATGAAGTCTTTCAAGTGTTAAACAATGATAGATCAAAAGGTAATGTCTTCAATAGGTGAAGTAAAAAGCTCGTGGTTTTTTTTTTGCTTCTTTTTATTAACTATTTAACTGCGCCATTAACATGAGTATGAAACAGGATGATTCCTTAGTGTTATCGGAAGTACGTGAAAAAAATTTCATGTATGCATAATCAGTTTATTTAATGAATAGTAATAATGCGTAACCGAGGTATTTTTCGGAGTCTCTATCTGATATATAATAATAGAACGTGGATGATATGAGTTTGTGGCTTCGGGAGAATATAAAGTAAAACCGAAATGTAAAATTATTATTTTCGATCAATGATCGTTGATTCAAGTTAAGAGAAGAACTCTAATAATTAAATTGTGATATTAATTAATAATAATCTTAAGTCAATTCACCAGTATTTTTTTTTCTTAAAAAAGTAACGTTTTTAATATAATATGTTTATATTAAGTAATTATATATAAGCTCTATCAAATAAAAATAAATAAATAGCTAATGAAATATAAGAAAAATTAATTAAAAAATATTATCTTATTATTATATTTTTTTCTCTTACTCATTAACATTGATTATAATTTTCACTTTTTTCTTAATGTTTTCATATTGTAATATTCAATTTTAAAAAATTTTTAATTATACAATCTTATATTTGCCATTATATATAATTGACATGACAGGTATTTGAATTTGATATAATGAAAACCAATAGAAATTCAAAAAAGAATTTTATAAGATAATAACTTTTATATATACGTGTAAAAATAAAGAACATGTTATAGCTAGATTAATTATTGATACTTAATTTTTTTTAACATATCGATTTTAATACTTTAAATATAAATTTTTAATATGTAATTTTAAAAAATTTAAAAAATTTAATTTTAATTTAAATATCAATTTTTGTAATATAATAAATTTATTTAAAATATTTTAAAAACAAAATATTAAAAAATATAAGATTAGTAGACATATATACAGTATATAACAAAGTATTTGTACAACTGTAAATTTAAATTATATAATTTGTGTAATTTGCAAATCAATATTAAAAAATCAGTACAATAAACTATTTGAAATTAATACCTTTATTTATTAATATTGACAAGTTTGTAACATTGAATTAAAAGTTTTAAAATTATATAAATAAGACTGTAGAAACTATTTGGTTCAAATTATCCTAAACATATAATTGGTTATACTATCAATTTAATTAAACATATAATATGAATAAAAAATAATTGGATTAATATTTCTTATTATAATTCAATAAATAATAATTTAAGCAAAATAAAACTTTAAATATATTTACTTTATAATCTATTTACTTTATAATCTATTTAATAAATTTATTTGAAAATATTAATTTAAATTTAAAAAAAAACATTACAAATTTTGTATATAAATTTATTTATAAATTTATAAATGAAAACTAAAATTTTACTATAAAAATTTTTTTAAAAAAATTAAATATAAAAATAAATAAAAATTTTAAGTTTATAAAAAAATTATATTAAAATTATTTTTTTTATTTATATTATACTATATAAAATTAATTTTAAAATATTTTAAAATATATAGTAAATTCCGTTAAACCGAGGTGACCGGAACTATTAATAAAATTTTTTGAAAAATTCAGTTTAGAGGGGTTTACTTAGTAAATTCGGTTTAACGAGGTAATTTACAATATGACAATTTTTGAGCAAACTTTGGTTTAACAGGATTTTAATTAGTACTTCAGTTTAACGGGGTTTGGATTAACAGGGTTAACTGTGTATTTAAAAACTTTATGTTTAATATAAAATTTGTTTTTTAGTTAAATTAATTAATAAATAATTTTTTATGATTTTAATTTTTTTTTAACCAGTGGATCAATAACACAATAAATAGTACTTCCAATACATATCTTTAGTTCAATATTTATAAAAAACAAAACATATAAAATTATTCTTTATTTGTAAACTTATGAGTTTTCTATAAATATTATATTTAAATATCCAAATTCTAACCAAATTAAGCTAAGCTACATAACAATAGAACCTCTGATCTTTTTTGATAATTGTAAGCTAAAAACAAATTGAAACAGAAAAGATTACATAATAAAAGGCTTCTGATCTAGCTCTGATAAAAATCCACAATTCTTTTTAATATAACAAACTCTATAACATAAGGAATATTCTAGCCTAAAGCTATTTCAATTTAACACTTGCTTAAAAAAAGAGAATTCCTAAAGAAAATCTAAAGTTGTAAGTAGTAATAAAGAATATAGTATTTTTTTAAAGGTTTTAGATAAAAAGTATTAAATGGATTATTTGAATATTCTAATTAATC